AAAGTAATTAATATGCAATTGAATATTTGTCGTGAAATTATTTCATTTCTGTTTTCCCTTAGTTGTAGGTAAATAAAGCACAAGCGGTTTAATTACCCCTAACTACTAAATAATCTAAGACAAGTGCTATAGATTTAATTTAGTAGCAGCAATAGGAACTAGGAAAACCGACAAACTAAATAACACAAGCACAAGCGGTTGCATTTAATTTAGGAAAATATTCTACCCGAGACCAATTATCACTAAGCCGTCAATAATTAACCTCAGTTGCTACTGAATATTAGAATAATTTGTAGCACAACATTATCTAATATAGCAAATAATTATATCAAATAAATAACTAGTAGGCCTCCCTAGCAATTAAATGATACAACTATTCAAATAATTTAGAAGAATATTTAATACTCAAAATGCATAAAAACATATATATATATATATATAATAAAGTTAAATAAATAACCTTACAGCGTTATGAACTCCGGGGCTTCAATTCACTAAACCAACTAGAAATTAGCCACAAATGGACATTGATAACAACTTCAACGAATACTATAGAGGAGGGAAGAATAAACATTTTACAATAGGAAACTCATACTATTTATAGAATTCTAAAAATAGATTCAATGACCTCAACCATTCAATTTCCCTATTTTTTAGGCTCACGTCCGAAGGCCTCCGCTGCTATCGCATACATGGTTGACGACCTGCACGTTTTTGGCGAAATGAATTGAATGATTCATTTGCATGCATCTCTGTACATATTAAATATATGATTTGTATTGAATGATGACCAAACAACCTAATATTATAATATATATATATATATATATATATATATATATATATATATATATTATATGCTAGTATAGAACGTACTATTTATATTCTATATATATTATAGATATATATTATATTTTGTATGTAGTAGTACGTAGTAAATATGTATATTAGTATGTATTTATATATTATATATTATATATAGTTAGTACTATATTTAGCTCATTATTGTTAAACTCTAAAAATAACTAATTGTTAAATAATATTAAATAATGAATGCAAAATTATTATAAAGATGTACTTAAAATATGAGCGTAAAATATGCATATCACATCCCTATTTCAATTTTGAGAAACTCCATCCCTTCAATTGGAATTGCATCCCTATTTCAATTTTGAGAAACTTCTCCATCCCTTCAATTGGCCCTATTTCAATTTTGAGAAACTTCATCCTATTTCAATAACTTGAATTGCATCCCTATTTCGATTTTGAGAAACTTCATCCCTTCTCTATTTTGAGAAACTTCATCCCAATGGACTTTGCAAATTGTTTCCCTTCATCTGATGGATTTAAACTTGACTTCTTTAAAATATGTTAGATGTGAGATTCAAACCTATGACCTTGCATATAATATTTCAAGCTTCTACCAACTCGTTTGTACAACCTTTTGGTCATCATTTTGTTTCACTTGGTGTACTCCTTTCTTTCTATAGATGCTTGATCTTCAAGATAGCTTCATGCAAACTTCATGTCACGTTCATCTTCGGGATTTCTTCTTGATTTCTTAAGAGTTTTCTTGAGGGATTTCTTCTTGAATATCTTTGAGAGATTTCTTCTTGAATATCTTTGAGAGATTTCTTCTTCGGATGATAGTCTTCATAACTTGTGTATACTTCTTCATACGCATACATCTTCCTCTTCTGTTTGCCATTTTCACTAGTCAAATTCTTGATTTTAGGCTTTATATCTTCTTCATCCATTTCCTCAACTAATGAATTTATTTTTCCCTTTCTTGGTCTATGACTCGACTAGTCTAACCAAAATAAAATTGAGGTTCTACAATTTACAATATGGCATATCAAAATCTATTACAATTTATTCCTAACAGGAGACTTATCTGTTACTGATTTGAGATTGGCAGGCCTCTGGCTCTGTTTGCATTGGGTCATGTTGGTGTGGGAAGCCCTTGACAGGTCGGTGGTGTGGAAAGGCTCGATCTACCATTGTGAACTGATCCGGTAGTGTGAAAAGCTTTGGGTTGCCGTTTGGATTATTGTTTTGCGGGCAACCTGGTAGAAATGTATCCCAGTTGTTAGAGATAGTAGCTAACCCGTTGGGCTTGGAATCCCTATAGGGGGTGTATACACTTAAGGTTGCTAGATTTGTTTACATTGGACATTGATTGATTGGTCACTTGGTGACATTGGTGCTGACTGGAAGCCCTCCACACTGATTTACGTTGGTATCGAGTCACTGAGGTTGACTCCACGGTATATGTTTGATGATTGTGTCCTTTGTGGACTTGAAACCTTGATATTGTTATTGATTGCTTGGCTATGATGAGAACTATCTATGCTGATTACTATGATTGTCTTATCTTTCTTATCATCCTTGATTCGTTATCGTCATCTCGTTGAATCGGTCTCTTAATTGATGTCCTTGTGGTATAATGTCGTGTTGTTGAACATATCTCATGTATTGGTTTGGTCTTGAATCCATTCCTTATAATTTACTGAATTAGAGTTGATTAGTAAAATATATATGTATTCCCAAGTCTCAAAACTATTTCAAAGTATCAAATCCATATCTACGTATTTTTACACAGTAGAGTGGGGTTACTTAGCATAATCGCTAATGGTTTTAAACTGTTTTCAGGTATGGAGTAGTCCAGCTTTTGAGAGCGCGGTAGTTCGAGCCTAGCTTCTACCTTATAGCTAGATCCTTTTATTTTATCCTTAGTTTGTTGGCATGTGAGCCTTATGTTAGACTTATGTTGTTTTGAAAGATTTTGACTAGTTTCCCTGTCTTATTATAATTTTTATGTTTGAAGATTAGACTAGCATGTGCATTTTGGTTTGATAGCTTAAATGCGGCATAGCATCCCCGTTTGTTTTGACTTAGCTTCCACAATTTATTTATAGCAGTTAGACCTTATTTACCTATCATTGCCCAGTTTATTGTCTTAAGTTGTGCTAGAAATCGGGGGTGTTACATCGCCGGCCACCCCCTTCCCTCCCCCTCTTCCTTCGTCTCCGCTGGAGAGGAAGGATGGAGAGAAGCGGGTGGCGTGAGACGAAGGACCTGTCTCACGCCACCCCCTTTCCCCCTCCGTTGGAGACGAAGGACTTGTCTTCATCTCCGTTCGGAGACGTAGACAGGCTCGGACCTGTCTTCGTCTTCGTTCAGAGACGTAGACAAGCTCGTCTCCGAACGGAGACGAAGGAAGGGGGAAAGGAGGTGTCGTGAGACATGTCATTCGTCTCACGCCACCCCCTCCAACCCCTCCAAGGAAGATGGGGGAAGGGGTGGCGGCCGGCCACCCCGTGTTTTTTTTTTAATTTATTATTAAAATTTATTAAAAATGTCAATTCATTTGCCACATATGCAGGTAACCTGCTGAAATTGATGGTAACATGTTATCAGGTGAAATTGCATACATTTGGAGCGTTCAATGACCTGATTGCATTTTTTCTTCGTTCAATGACTTAATTGCATTTTCAGGTTACGTTCAATGGCCAATTTGAATCTTATTCCAAATAGTTAATAAGAAACAATCAAATGTCTAAAATTGTATTTTTCGTTTTTTTTTTTAACTTTTAGGGGGCGTTTGGTTCACGAAATGTTAGATTCCTTTATTTGGTTTAAAACTAAGATATGTAAATGAGATAACGGTAATAAGATAAATTGATTAAAGCGTCCAAAGTCCAACATTAGTAATAAGACAAGGGAATGTAAGATTACCTAAGAAATTGGAGGGTATCTCACATTACCTTCCAATAGCTAAAAACTTAATGCAGAGTGTTGGTTTTAGGGTTTTTAGGCCCAAGGAGGTCCAACACAACCTTAGTTGGTGAATTCACCTTTCAAAAATAGAAATAAGAAAGTAATAGTTACAAGTGTATATGTATTCTTGGCCTGTTTTCGCCGTCCCCTTCTACAACTTTGGAGGAGACCTTTTATAGGGATTCTCTTTGAGAAATTAAAAGCTTTTTACAATTAAGGGCCATAATGAGCCTTCATTAACGAGGAAGTCGTTGGGCTGCCGTTACTGGGTCTCCTCAACGGCTTGTTTGAACTAGGGATGGCAATGGGTCGGGTGTGGGTCGGGGAGGGCTACATCCATCACCCGACCCACCTTATATTTTCTCCACCCACCCCCACCTCCAACTTGCATCGGGTGGACTTTTTCAGAACCCACCCCCACCCCCACCGAGTGCGGGTGCCCACTACGGGTACCCACCACTTATCATCTTATTATGTTTTTCAAAAAATAATATTTAAATTATTTACACATAATAAAAAAATAAAATCGATTAGTGATACTAAAACATAAATAATGGAAATATTTAAATATAATAACTAAATTGTTAATTTTTAAAAATAAACTTAGTAGTTTTGATATAAAAAATAGTAAAAAGATACACGGAGTAACTACATACTAGTATTTATTTTACTATTATATATATATAGACACATACATGGTGGGTCGGGTGAGGTTCTAGGCGGGTCTTGTACATAGAACCCAAATCCAACCCGACCCACCGCGGGTTTTCTTTTTTAAGACCCACCCCCGACCCACCACCCACCATCACCCAAAAAAAACCGATCCATGCGGGGTGGATTCGAGTGGATATCCACGGGTCGGATTGAAATTGCCATCCCTAGTTTGAACGGGCCTTTTAATAGATCTCTTAAATGCTAACGGCTACTTTTGGGGTGACCTTCCACTCGCACCGACCTCGTGCTTGTCCCGACCTCCGACTCAAGCTGACTCCTTGTGTTGGCCTGGGTCCATCTCTTGGGCCTGCCATTACTTGGGCTTGATTCCCTTCCCTTCTTGGGCCCTAAGCCCGTTAGGTCCGTATCCCATCACAAAGGTTATCTGACATTCCCGTAAAAAAAGTTTCAAATATAACTTTAATTATCTTATATAATCTGAACGAAACAGACTTTAATTTTTTCCAACCCGTTATATTGCAAGATTTGACCCGCAACCTCAGTCAATCTGGCAGCTCACTTAAGCTGAGGCCAATATATACACAACATCTTTCCCCTAAAAGGAAGCTACTGACACGGCTGTAACTCTAAGCTTCCTTCAATGGCGGCTTCAACAGCATTTTCCGGCTCCCTCACTTTCAACATTTCCTCCGCTCAACACAAGACTTCCCGTCTCACCCATCTTTCTTCCGCCATACTCCCTCCCAATGCCCGTATCTACCCCTGCAAACCCCTTGTTTCTAGTTCCACTCCCTCACAATCTCACCGAATAGTCGCCCCTCTTCGATCCGCCGCCGCGGCCGCCGACTCAAACACCACCTTCCACGGCGTCTGTTACGTCGTTGGCGACAACATCGACACTGACCAAATCATTCCCGCCGAGTACCTTACCCTAGTCCCTTCCAAGCCGGAGGAATACCAAAAGCTGGGGTCGTATGCCCTATGCGGACTCCCATCTACCTACGAGACCCGATTCATTGACCCGGGCGAATTCAAATCTAAGTACTCAATTGTTATCGGGGGCGATAATTTCGGGTGCGGGTCCTCTCGTGAGCATGCCCCCGTTGCCCTCGGCGCCGCGGGTGTGTCGGCGGTGGTGGCGGAGTCTTACGCCCGGATATTCTTCCGGAACTCGGTGTCCACCGGGGAGATTTATCCGCTGGAATCCGAGGTGAGGATATGCGAGGAGTGCAAGACTGGAGATGTGGTGACTGTTGAGCTGGGTGAAAATAAGTTGATCAACCACACTACTGGGAAGGAATACAAGCTGAAACCAATTGGGGATGCTGGCCCCGTGGTTGAAGCCGGTGGGATTTTCGCCTATGCAAGGAAGACGGGGATGATCCCTTCCCGTCAGGCCTAGAATGCTCAAACTGGTAATGCTTCATTCATTCCTCACTTTCATTTGATGATTAAGTAGTAATATGTATTTGTAGGGCATTGTGGTCTAAGTAGGTGTATGAATGAGAGGGTGATGTTAGGCTCTGTGATTGTTAGCCCCAATGCTTTGAGCATTGGGTATTGTTTCATTTCTCTGCTACTATATAAGGTTTGATCTATCATGTATATATCATTTTCGTTTCATTCTAGTGTTAGACTTGAGACTTGTTTCTTTGAAATTTTATGATGTTAATTTCTGTTTACTAAGGCAATTAATTTCTAGACTTGATGCATAGTGTTGACCTTTAGCCCAATTAGTTAATGTGAAGTATTAGTTTCAAAAACTACACTAATTTCCTTGCTTGGCAATGGTTAGTTTCCATTAAAGATGTTCTCTCAATAGTTTTATCTTCTCTTTTGTAGGGTAGTTTTTGGACACTTTCGTTTCTGTGACTCTAATTGAAGTTACAGAATTGTTCAAAAGCCTAATGAAACTAATATGTTTTAGCTAAACAATTAGTTTTGGATGAATGCTCATTTTTAATTTTAGAATTTTGATTTTAAGTGAATTGAAACTTAACCCAGAAAGTAGATGACTCATGTGTCATGTATCGTCTCTCTCTCTTAATAGGTTGGCACATGACTTTCATGAAATTAAGATTTATGGAGATTGTACCGATGAATGTGTAATAATTCTTGTATAGACCTAGTTCATGCCTTGATCTATCTTGTTCTGTTTATCATACTTCCCCATCTTCTCTCTGCTTGTTCATTTTACTATGATCTGTGCAGGTTTTGAGCGGTGGGTAGCTGTCATGTAGACTAGTGAGAGTAACTTCCTTGATCTTCTTTTGAAGAAGCTAGTTGCTGTCCTCCCCTAAGCAAGCTCATCACTGGTTTTTGTAATAGTTGTGCAACAAAACACTATTCTGTGACTGGTTTTCTTGCACCTCGAATGGTGTTGTGGTTAGTCTATTTAATTTAGATTTGTGTTTTAGACAATAATAAGTGCAGTGCATCCATTTCTTAGAACTTCATAATCTTGACGGCCTCGTCCAGGGAAGCTTATTTAATTTCTTATTTAATTTGGTGGAACATGCACCTTTAATTATGGATAGTACCAAATTTATGTATTTGCCAATTCTATGGGGGTTTTTTACAAGTTGTCTCGAAATCGATGGGGTAGATTTGAACTACAAATCCCACCCATCACTTTGTTTTTTTTTTTTTTTTAATTTTAATACCCCCTCCGAAGTTTTAGTAATCAGTGTAATGTCGCTCTGCAGATGGCTTTAGATATTAGAACTGTTACAGTTTGCTGCTTAATAATTCTAAATATTTCCACTAATGTAACTCTCTTTAAGATTCTGCAAAGATTCCCTCAGAGAATCTTCATCTTGATTAGAATACTTCAAGCATATCAGACGTTGAGCAATACGGTAGACCATTTGAATGTCACGGTATTGCTGGCAATTCACCTCCAGTCTCTTTGTTTTCTGTTGAAAGTTGTAAAAGCAATCAGGGCAATGGATACACAACACATTTACAAGAACCTTACCATACCATACCATACTGCATAAATTTACCATGTAGGAATGTTTTCAATCTCTTATATTTCCATAGCTATATCAGACGATTTTCATAAAGAGCGGGAGGGAAGAAGCAATCACGGGGTAAATAAACAGTTTCAGGGCTACATTGGTTTTGAGCTTGTAGCAACAGAGATACAAATAAACCTACTAGTCTTCAATAGGAGGATTTAGCCTTTGTCAGTTTGCAAGCATTGCAAGCTACATGAATTTTTTTAAATGACATCTAGCCATGTTATCTTGCAAGTGATGGAATTAGTGAATTACTAGGATGAACTCAGTCTAAGCAACTGGAATAGAACCATATGCTGAAACTTTTTAATCTTTAAATGAAAATGTTTGACAGTTAAGTTACAAATTACCTTTTGTGTAATCGTTGATGTAATTCTTTTGGCAGTTTCAACCACTGAACTTGGCAAACCAGCCACACCTGCTAGCATAAGGCCATAATGTGGCACGTGAAGTTGTCCATCTCTCAGTTGAAACTGAGAAAAAGCAAGAAGGATGATATTACTAACTATAAGATGCCATCAATTTCTTGAGCAAAGTTTGACATTCACCTTGAAATCCATCCGGTTGTTTTTCACTTCAACATAAAAATGAAGAATTTTCACATTCGGGTAGATGATGGCAAGCTCTGACAGATTTTCCATATGGGTAGCAAATATAGTATACCTGAAAACAACTACAAGAAAGTTATATAAGTTTCAAGTTGCTACAGGGACTACTAACTCCTTTGCTAACCTTAGTCGGAGAAGAATCCCAGTATATATAAATCTAGTTAATAAGATTCTGCAGTTTGAACACTGAGATACAATTAACATGTCTGGATGTGATTCAAGATCAAATACGTCCAACAGTAAGAAGTGACATCTTCTAGCTAGAGAATTCAAATAACCTCTAGCAAAGAATAAAGTCACTCAAATCAGTTAGAGAAGGATAAACATAGAAACGAGATTGGAGTATAAAACAAAAATTAGATTTTAGTATACTATATTTAGATGTGAATCATGTGATCCACAAGTCACATACCAAACAGAAAGGTTGATCAATAAAAAACTATAACACAGGACATTGATGCCATTCAGTGGATTCTAAGTTTATTTAAAGATAAAAGTGTGCTCTTTGAGGTGTCAATATTGTCAGAAGCATGAAACTCTAGGACTTGATTTGTTGAGGGAGGAAGGGAAAAAGTTGGATTATAATCCCTTCAACCTTGTGTTTTGTACAACTTGGTCATGAGATAAGGTAGTGTCCATCACCTAATCACTAACATTTGGACAATAATACAAGACAGACGTGAAAAGCGATAGACAGTATACATTAACTTAATTGGTAGGCTCTCATATTTTCCATCCTTGAGGTATACCAGGCTACCAGCACATTCATTAGGCATGCAACAATGCAATATTGAATCAATATGTGACAAGAGGGGAGTGGTTACACTGTTACAGTGAATCATGAATAGTGCTTTATTTATTTGGGTGAAGTTTAAGGAAGTTGTATCCAGTAGGGTCAGAGCAACTGCCACTACCAATGCTCAAGGACTTCCATTATTAAATGAAGGCGGAGAGTATGACACAAGAATTTACTGCATGCTTGAGGCTTCACTAAAGGGGGTGGAGAAATTACGCTTTCAGTGCCAATAGATGCTCACAACAGCTCCAAGCCATTGCAAATCCATCAGATGAAGAAGTTGCCCTCCCCAACTCATCCATCACAACAAGACTTCTGCACTCAGGAAAAAACTTTTAAGCTGTTAAAAATTCAAATACGCCTAAGCTCTCGTCTTTTCTGTTAAAGTAGTCAGTGGGGATCATATACCTCTTGGAGATGTTTTGCATTATAAAAGCTGTCTCTTTCATCTCTGTCATGAACTGCATAGATCAAATCACATGAAACACTCTCATTATCCTTATATATGGGTATTTTATAATTAAATATAAGAAAATCCATATAGTTGACCCTTCTTTCTCATTCAGGCACTTCCATTTGTTCATGGTTTTATTGAATTTTCTAAAATTGATTTACACTAGAATGTCCGATAATGTCCATTGCCTAAAATCTGAGTATGACAAGTTTCTGAAGAAGCATTACCCTCATGGAAAAATATAACTGAAATGAAGTTTTCTAGATTTTGAATGAATAAAGAAATGAAAATGTGCAGAGGAATTGAACATGATATTTTATTATAGTAGCTACTACCGTGCTAGAGTTAGATTCAAGGCAGTCAATAGTTCCCATCCTTGTGAAAATTCGATCAATCACCCTCAAAGTGGCATAGTGGGCAGGAATGTAACACCCAATTTGTGCAAGAATGACAATAAGACATACTTGTTGAAGATAAGTACTTTTCCCACTCCTAAGAAAACATCACAGAATTATAATCTGAGAAAAAAATGCCAAAACTAATTCATGATTAAGAAACTTTAAGCAAAACCATCCAATGGTTTAACACTTCATGTCACATCATTGGCATATATTTCTGCACTTATCAACTTTGATGTACAAAAAACCATGCCAAAAAACAAACACTTCAGGAGTAGGAATTCTTACATGTTAGGTCCCATCACAATTACCACATTTGATGCTTCAGAGAGAAAGATATTGTTGGGCTGCAAAAGAGAAACATATAATCATTTCCAAATGAACAATTCCGATTCAGGAAAGAAAGAAACTTAAGCAGTCAATGGAAGTAAAGAAGAGTTATAGTCTACAATGAAATCATTGTGAATGCTTTCTAGAATGGGGTGCCTTCCAGAATCAATTGCTAATGGACCATCATCTACAAGAGAAGAATTTTTAAGCACTGAATCATCAGAATGATAAATGCTGCTGAAAAAAAAAAAAATTGGCCCTCATGTCATGCACTTTCATTTAATTAAGCCCCTATGTAATTTTTTCATTCGATATACCTGCATAACTGCAAAATTTATCCAATCAACCCCAATTTTAACCTACTCTTTAACTCAACTCATATATTTGCCACATCAGATAACCTGACCCACATACATGCCCAACTGGCTAATGAATCACAAAAACACTGTTCTCTCTTTCTCAGTTGATGTCAAACCTGACAGCCCACATAACTAAAATTTTATTCCCTCTCCAAAAGTTACAGTGGCCTAAATGAATGAAAGAGCATAACATGAGGCCAAATCATGTACTCAGCCACATAATAAATATTGATATACCTTACTGTAATACTTACAAGTAAATTGAGGTCTAGTATATTGATCAACAGGTTTTGTTGAAATCATATGAGCGAATGAGTTAACTATCATGTCTAGAAGGCATAGGACTTCAGAAAGAAGTGTAAGCACGGAAACATCCTGTCGTATAGCATCCATTAGTGCTGCATGTTGATAAAGGAGGATATGATTTTTAAATAGGCACAATAATAGTTTATATAAGATGAAGATTATAGTACTTGTTGATCAGTCATCAAATGGACAGATTAATAAAGTTGCATCCGGTTATCATTTAATCATCCAGAATATGCTTATGAAAATTAAACAGCTAAACGTGCACACATGTAAGCAGTGTGGACAGTTGTGTTAGCTATCCATCACAAGGCATTTCCTGAAATAAATAATAACCCCCTCCCCAGGCCGCGGTTTCCCTCTTACACGTATTGAGTTTTCATTCAATCAAAAACAAAGAATAAAAAAATAATAATAATAAAAAATAAATAAATAAAGAGCAAAAAATGCATCAGTAAAAGCAAAAACCTTGTACTACAGCCTTCAACACATTACCTTCCAAGCAAAGTTCAGTCCGTATATAACATTCCTTAGTTGCAGACTTGTTCCGCACATTCAACTGCATAATAAGCAATGAATGAAGACAAATCAATACTTACAAATCTTTGTTCCCATACAAACACATTAGAAATAATGATACAAGTACGAATCTTATTAACCCCTTCATATGTCCAATATTCATTATTCTAGATTGAAAAGTGACAGTAAAAGCAATCTATAGATTGGATACTTTATTTTCAAATTAATGCTCTAAATTCAACAACAATACCAAACAATATCAGAAGGAAAGCAGTAAGGGGTCCAACTTTGCACAACTTGAACCAATGGCTGATGTCCAAGTCAAACAAACTTGGTGTTGCACCAAATCTTACCCCAAGACTTTGCTGCAATAGTTACATACACAGACAAGTTATTTCTCCCACCCTTAACACCACCCCACCCCACCCTCCCCCCCACCAACCCACCCAGACAAAGAAAAAAAGTGACAAGGTTTTATTTCTATATATATATATATATATATATATATATATATATATATCAGTTTTCATGCTTAAATCATGTAATGAAGGAATATGAGTATAGTATCTTTCCCACTTAGGAGTCAAGCAAACAAATAGAATGAGATTTTAAATTAACAGGAAAATATCTACAAATTGGTATTCCTGTGTGAATATTTCATTGTCTATAAGATTATTTTTTAAAAATTACAGAATTGTACATGGACAATTCAAAGATATTCCTCAGGAGCTTATCATGCTTTTAGTTATATGAAGCCTAAATGATTTTAAAGATTAATATAATGCTACTATGTTCACACTTCTAAAAATGAAGTAACTAGACAAAAGGGTAGTGAATTATATGCATTGAT